AAATATTTTTTATTATTTATAGTGGACGTAGTTGTAAACGGAAAGTTTCTTTGTAAAGGTGCATTTCTGTCTCATTATTTTTCATCGCGTAGTATTATTGGTGCCGCAATTTTACAATTTAATTGCACCCCAACTTTTAAAATTCCATATATTTCCTTGTCTTAACGAGTAATAAAGTGTAAATATATGCATACAGATGCAATTCTAACGGTCTACTCCGATTGTCCACGGCATAAAAAATTAATAACGTTTACGACATAAAACTGTACTTGTTGTACATAAAACTTGTTTTAAAGAAGTTATGTCCGTTGTCTTTTATTGGATTATATATTTGTTCTAAATCTTAAGGACTGTCAAAGACTTTCTCACAAAGTTAAGTTTGTCTTTGTATACGAACTTACAGCGATCACGCCGAATAAGTTGACGAAGAAGCACATTATCGTTCGTCGCTTAAAGTTATCATTGCGCAACAGCCCACTGGAGAATGCCGCAGACGGAACACGATACAAAGACGACACTTGAACTTTGCGAAACACCATTAAGGCGAATGGAGTCGAGTGCCACTTATCTTGTCCGAATACGGACAATGGTGTCGGCGAAAGAAGGTCGCCTGTAGGGACCCCGGCCGTTCGGAAGTGCGCGCGATTCACGTAACATGTTACGTGCCGTTGCACAATTTGGCTGTGAACGGTTTTGACGAGACGTCATGTAGACACGACGGTTGAGTGACGTTGATACTCGCGTATTTTTCAGGACGCAGCCGCATGACAAATTTCGGACGCAGGTTGTCGGAAGAAAATAGTGTTTAATATATAAGTTTAGTGAAAATATTGATTTTGTACCATTTAATTTACATAAATTACCAACGTTTGATATTCACCTCATGTGTGCCGGGAATATATAAAAATATTAAATAAAATATAAAAGATTTAATTATAAACATAAAATATTATATGTATATAAATATAAAATACTAGCTGATGCCCGCGACTACGTCTGCGTAGAATAGTTTGAAGGCGAACATTCAGACAGAACGACAGATATACATAAAATATGGACATAAATTATAGCCATGTCTTATTCTGATGTATAAGCTATATTATTGTAAAGTATCATTAAAATCCATTCAGTACTATTTGCGTGAAAGAGTAACAAACATGGATGGGCCATACATACAACCTTTCGCGTTTATAATATTAGTAAGGAAGTAAGGACAGTAAGAATTTCATAGTTCAGATTACACTGATCTGATTGTGTTCTTTGAAATTAATTAAATATTTTTGACGTAGCAAATCTATATTTTAAGTTATTAAATTTCTAATTGTAAGCAAAAAATATCCTTTCTCCATTAAACTATAAATAAAACCGTTTCTTTCTTATATTACAAGAATTGGTGTTAACCGGTATCGTTATTTATAAATATACATTTGATTGAACATCTTTATTTCGCCATGATAAAATATTAAACATACCATCAACATTAGGAAACTGATGGAATCCACTTTTTATTTATCATATTTCGCTTCCTGGAGTATCAAGACGTCGCGGTCGCGCAAGACTGTGTCAGAAGATAATTGTTACACAACACACTTTCACCTCCACCGCTTTGTTTACAATATTGTATCGAAATACAGCATGTTTATACAATTTACCCGTCATATAATAATTTGTGATATGACAATTAGCACAATAATATTACCACGCTAATGAAAACTTCGTAAACAATAAGAAGGTACCGTCAAATCTTCGAACCTTTCACAGTATTTTTTCGAATTCTGTCGTTCGCGCGAATTGCTTTGTTAAATTTTATTAGGGTAGAAAGTCATGTCGAGCTTCGGACGCGACTCATAAAGGGACACAAATGACTCGAACATACTATAAATAAAGCCTGTATGACTGCTAAATGCAAAAGCTATAAAAGTTTGTTGTAATTAGTAATTCACACTTGTTTGTTATTTAGATACAATGTACTAAAAATGTTTACTCGCAACGGAACGAGAAATGTTTCTATATCAATTCAATTTTAGAGATTCTTTTTTGGCGACTGAGCATGACAGTAATTAGTAGTAATTCCTCATGGACACCCATACCACCAGAGATGTGAGTAAGAACTGGTGAATTGCTAAAAATTGAGTCGCTTTCGCGTTTCGTCCGGTGAGTTTGGCAACCGATTGCTTAACTCATACCTGGTCCAAATGAATAAGCACGAATAGTTAAAAGTATTCGTAAATATTTGAAGTTCGACGTGAAGTAATTTTACTCTACATGACTACAAACACAAAAACATCTTCAATTTGTCGACTTTCTTAAAATCCATAATGTTACAACGTTACAGTACAGGCATCAGGCACAGAATCGATGTTTCAGCTTAAACTAGACAAGATTTCGTAAAAAAAAAAATGCTCACGAAACGTTTTCGCGAATAATTTTTTGTTCATTTCATTAAAATTAAACTTGCGAGCTAATAAATTTTTCTTGTGTAATAAAAAATTCGTGTGTAAAAAATAATATGATTTACTCATAATAACGTGAAGGTTTTTCGAATGGTCAAAAGCTGGGTCTTCGAGTCGTCTTTGGATTGATGCAATGTATTGCTTGTGTACGTGAATTGTTAAACTATAAACTTATTACATTAAATTTAACTACGTTCTTACATCTTGAATTACGTCTGTTTAACATGGCACCGAAAACAATTATTTAAGTTTCCTTCTTTGAACTAATAAGTTTATAATATTTAAGCCCTTAATATTTTAACTTTAAGCAATCAAACCCACTAAGGTTGCCAAAAATTCGCCGTACGAATAGTAAGTGACTTAACAGCTTCTGCGAACTGAGAGCTTTCTTTTGTTAAAGATCAGTAGTCATCTAATGGAATAATTGGGCGCATGCAAATTTGATCCCGATTACGAGGCGAGTGGTTCCGTATTTGTCGGTCACGATTCAAATTAACCTTAGTGAGCGACAAACGAAATTTCTCACTGCCTAATAAAGGAGCGAAACAATTAATCATAGGCTTACGGAAATGAATTAACAACATTCATGATGGTTGTCGAATGAAACGATACAGTAATTAAATATAATTTTAATGATATCTACGGTTATGATATAGGGTGTCCACGTGAAATTTATGTAAATAAAACATCCTTACAACAAAGGATAATATTATCCTAAGGGAGCAGTCTTTTGAAAAGGAAGAGTACAATCTAGATATCAGCGGTCGTTGGGATTTCAACTCCTATACAGTACTTCGATTTGTAAAGACGAGTTTTTATTTTCATGTTTTCCACCAAGAAAACGTTGTAATTTTTGTATTCCTAGCTTTCTAAAGAAGACACAGACAGATACAAAACTAAATAGGTTTATTCGTGTACATTATTCATTACTCTTTATACGACAGTAATACATAATGCAAGGTGGTCGAAACGTTGAACTTTCTGCTGTGTATTGTGCAACGGAAACAACCACTACACAAAGCCTAAGTCATTAAAGCTGGCGACTAATTGAGACATAATTATCTCCTTCCTGAGGTAAGTTAAGTTGCGCGACGTCATTCGTTTTCTGCAACTGAATTGGGCAAACACTTTGCTGTACACTTTATATGAATACTCGTATCTATCAAAACATAAAGATTTGTTTGAATTACTCCGTTGAGATAGAAACATAATCAATGTTGTTTTATTTGGAATAAGAGTTTTTTTGTGTTAAAATTTGTCAAGCGAGCAGGTGCTACACCTGATGTTATGTGAATACTGAAGCTATCGCCCAATCCGATGGCTTGCAGATGCGTTGACAACCTTTAATAAAGTAGCCCCCGGTTACCCGACTAAAAAGTGCGAATTCAATCGCGGCTACTAATTATAAGGGCGTCTTGTTAGTGTTTTAAGTAATAAACGTCGCCATATGGTCACGCAGTTGCTGTGCCATTGGCTTCGGCGCTGGGATCGTGGGTTCAATTCCCACACGGGACAAGATTTTGTGTGACCCACAGATAATTGTTTCGGATCTGGGTGTTAGTACCCAAGGAGTTTTTACGTGAGACAGGTGGCCGATTGTAAAATACCTTTTTTTTCCGTGGGAATAATCCTTTATGGATTTAAAATAACTAACCAATACCATTAACAACAAGATTCAAGTGCCGAGTTGAATACACAAAATATTTGGGAGTAGAAAGAAGAGATGGTACCAAAGGTCCGGTAATTGTTTAAAAATGTTTATGACTGAACTTAGATAAAATATAACGAACTTCATTCTGATTTAGTTTTAATTGCCTTTTCTTAATATACGACGTACCCCAGCTGGAGATGAGAAAAGTAAATGCTAGCAGTTCCTGCTCATTATGATTGAATATTATTGCAGTCTCTAGGTGAAGCATATACATATATAGGACACGTGGAAATAAGGCAAATAAATGGCAGCAATTCCTACAGATATTGCAGCGTAGTAAATATAGAAAGTCATAGTACAAATAAAATTAAATCCTCAGTGCAATTTGAAACGAGTTTTATAATGAAGATATTTTTATGATTTTTGCATCAACTTTACGACCTGTTGTGCCCTTATTGTGAGATTGAATCAAACGAACAGAATTACGAGAGAGATTTTCGTAGCATGTAAAATAAACTTGTAAAGAAAAGATTAATATAATTTATAGGGGTAATGATACACTTTTTTAAGATAGAAATTGCTTTTTTTTAAATAATCGTTAAATTTTAAACGTCGGTGTAGCGAATGCATTTGACTACACGGTTACTGGAGGCAGAATTTTGACGTAAGTAATACGGACGTAATGTCAAGTAGGTACCTATCGCTAGTAACCAAATTCGACCGTTAGTCCTTAATCCACAATGAAAAGAAGAGAGAAGAATCTTTAATTTTGAATAATACTACAATAATTGGATAAATAATAAAGTATAAATATGATATTTAGAATATAAAAGCACTTGTTCATATGCAAGACTAAAAGAGCTTAAAAAGTAGAAAAATATCCATCACTCTTTCTAAATGTTGCATGACTTGTCTTCCTTATTAACAATAACCTACAAACGCGTATTTGACGAAGAAAAATTTCATCAAACGTCTCACGATATCCGGTATTATTATAGTTTAACGTCTTGGGAATTTCTCCATACAATTCATCATTAGTTACACCGCCATTTTTTGTTTCGAAATTTTATCCACGCCGACATTTTGTGTAGCTGTCAAAGTAACACCACTCACCTTTTTTTTTTGGATTTTATGGCCCAGTATCAAGGACCTTTAGGCCAAATACACCACTCACCTGTTTCGCGTGCGGCCGCCATTTCAGTGCGCTGTCAAAAGTTTGGCACTTACCTGGGTGAGCCCCAGCCGGTAGCTGGTTACGTCGAGGTCCAGGGCAAGCAGCATGTCGTCGACTATCTGGCGCTCGGATAGCGTGGCGGTCTGTTGCGAGTTGTCCGTTGACTCGCTCTCAGAGGTTGCCAACAGTCGGTATCTAAGGAGCCAATGATATTACATATGACACTAGCGCATCGAAAATGAGCCAATTGGTGTAATTAGTTTGCAGTTCTACAGACCGCCATCTCTTCCTTATCGTACGTTCTATATCATCTGTCACATTCACTTATACAGCATGGCGTTACAAACGCGACAATAAATGAACATACTTTTTTTATGTGAGAAAGTGGCAAACGAGCTGGCGGTTCACCTGATGTTAAGTGATAACCGCCGCCCATGGACAATTGCGACACCCGTAGGGTTGCAATGCGTTACCACCTTTAGTGGTAAGTTACAAATAAAGTGGGCCCCGGCTGCCTCACTTACCACACGAAACGCAGAAGTATAGCACTTCTACTTTACGCCGGTTTTCTGTGAGGTCGTGGTACTTACCCGGACGGACCTGCCCATTCATGCAACAGTGTTGCGTGGCCCTACCACCGTAAACTAATTGCCAACTTCTGAAGCTACTTGCCAATAATCATAAAAATGTATAACATCAGGTGAACTTACTGGTGTTTTTAACTACTTTTATACAAAAATTATATCATTTAGTTATATCATGTAACTAAGTACTCACCGTCTTGCAAACTCCGACAGCGGCATGTGCTCGGGGAACCCTTGCTTGTACAATCTTGCCGCATCGAGTAATTGGAATCCTCGAAACTACGAAAAACATGTCTTATATAAATCTAAGGCAAAATCTTATCGAGTATTACAAGAAGTTATTTCTAGTTAGTGATATGATGAATGAAAACTAATGAATAGTTAAATAATAAATGTACATTACTCATTTCCATTTTACTCTGAAAAAGTAGTGTTTGCCCCTTTGATCATAATTGCCAATGTCTATAAACATATCTATACAATACAGTTTACGCAAAATAATAGACACTTCAACTCAATTCCCTTTTGAGGTATCTTGTTAACTTAAAAACTAGCCAATAGTATCAACAAAATAATTCACTTTGCCGACCCCACCTATGTGGGATGAGGTCAGGGGAGAGAAAATGAAAAAAGTATACATATAAAAAAATGTACATATAAAAAAGTATACATATGAAAAAGTGTACATATAAAAAAGAGTACTAATAGCCGAGATAGCTTTGTGTTCTGGCGCTCGCTTTCAATTCAATATACTGATACTAATACAGCCAATAAAATTGTTAATTTTAAGGGCCGACTTACTCGTACTCAGAGGTGAAGGAAAGCATCGTGAGGAAACCTACACATTTTCGAAACGAATCCAATCCGAATTGTGGCCACTTGGTGGACCTTGCCCCAATACCTTTGTACAGAACAGGCCTTTTCCCAGCATTGGGACATATACATAGTCTGTTACTTTACTTTTAAGAGCCGTGATATCTCAGTGTCCGGGCGGTCGCCTTTAATTCAATATACTCGAGCAACCTGAGTTCGATCCCGGGTGCCGGCACCAATGAAATTGTCAATTTCAAGTGCCGAATTATCACGTGCTCAGCGGTGAAGGAAAACATCGTGAGGAAACCTGCGTATTTTCGAAATAATAACAAAAAAAAAATAATAATATTCCGAAGATATGTTCAGTCCGCCAATCCGCAGTGGGGCCGCGTGGTGGCCTATGCCCTGATACCCTCTGTACAGGGAGGCCTTTGCCCGGCAGTGGGACATGTTTAGGCTGATACTTCACTTTAGTTTCAAATGGAGCACGCACCTGCGAGCGCAGCAGGGGCACGTTGACGTCATCGGCGGCGTCCGCTTGCTGGCCGGCGAGGAGGCAGCACACGAAGTGCACGCCCCCGGAGCCGCAACGCCTCAGCGTGTCCACCACGCCGTCGGCGACGAACTTCGCCTGCAGCGCGGTGGAGCGACGCTTCATGCCCGCCGTACCTACAATGAGGAAAACGTTCGGAATATAATAGTAAATTCCCGCCGGTGGGCAAACAAGACTATTACAATGAGGATTGTTTAATAATTTTTGTTAGATATAATGAAGCAAAGTAAAAAAATTGTTAATTCCAGTACGTATGATAATTTAAAAAATTATGGCAATCAAACAATATAGGCACGAAATTTAATAAATGAGTCAATTCACCATCTACTGTTTTTAATACTGTTTTTTTGTTTTAAAAATAAATAAGTTACTATGGCATAAACTTCAATTTTATCCACTGGAATTGCCTAAACTTTAGTTACTTAAGACATATGTACATAAAAGTGAAGCTAATAATAGCAATAGGATAATGGTCGCTTGGTAACAAAAGGTGCCACTTCTTTTCTCTGTGCACATACAATTAATAACGGCTGGTTTCAATATTATATCTACAGATAAAAAATATATACCTATATCTACTATATATCTATAAAAAATATATAGATATATTTTGTTCCTAGCGGCAGGTGTTGACATTAGCGTCATAATACTTACGTCAAAATTCTATCTCCAGTAGCCAAATCTAAATGTAGAATCGAATATTGTAACCGTTTTTATTACAAATCTTGCATTCTCTATCAAACAATGTAAAATAGATCGTAACGCAGGCGGACAAAGTCCAAATTCCATTACCCGAAGTCAGAGTGCGACGTATGGAGGAGGCGCGACGCAGCGTGGACGCGTCGCCCACCGCCGCCGACCACGCGCCGACGCCGCAAGCGCCACGCGACCATGACGACAGGCGGCCGATGTCCTCGCTGGAGGAAAGACAACCGTATCGCGTATGCATTAGTGACTATTATTGCCTGCGAATATGAGTCGCATCAAACTCGGTTCTGAATTTAGGGGCTGTGCAAAAGCGAATACAAGGCAAAAACGGGCGCGAACACAACTAAAGGAGTTCAATGTCCTCGCTGGACGAAAGACAACCGTGTCGTGTACACATTAGTGACTATTATTGCTTGCGAATATGCGCCGCGCCATGCTCGGTTCTGAAGGCAAAGGCGAGGCGCTGCGTAATAGCGAATATAAGGCGGTAACGGGCGCCAACACGATAACAGACGGCCGATGGAGGAAAAACAACCGTATCGCGTATGCATTAGTGATTATTATCGCCTGCGTTAAAAGTCACAGCGATATAGGTGACGCCAAACTTGGCTGTGAAGTTAGATCTGACATCCTTGCTGGAAGAAAGACATCCGTACTGCGTATTCCTTGGTGATTGTTATTGGCATATTTTGTTATTGATTTATTAAAAACTTCAGCAAATATGCATAGCGTTAAAGTTGAAGAAAATAGGATTCTGTATGGCCCAAAAGGTCCTCCACACTTCGATCCATTTTCTTAGAGTTTGAACTTTTTTTTAGAAATAATTTTCACTTTCAATTAATGAAAACAGTAAAATTACATACTTTTGGCTTTCCTGTAAGAGTGTATGCGCTTTCTTCGTGACAGGATTCTCGCGGCTTGCTTTGACCCATCCAGTTACGTCGTACAACACCGGATTGGTGCCCTGGAGGAAACAGAAGATATCATCATTTGCCCTTTGAAGTAAGCCCTGGTAAGTTCATGTTCAATTTGACATTAATGGAAGTAAACTTCTTTGCCTTGCGTTAAAAATTTATTCTTTAAAGAAGTATTTTCTATTGTAACGAAAAGCCTCAGTATTCATTATGTACCATGAAATTGAATAAAATTAAAATGTCAAAATTTTTGAGACGACATATATATGCCTTACGGAAAAGTTCAACATTTAAATGTTATAAATCAAAATTCACAGCGCAGCGGGCTGCCCATGAGTCCCCTTTAAGAAAAAAATGAGTATCCTCTAGAAGAAAAGTAACCCATTTTAGCAAATCCCTTGATTACTTTCTATACCAATTTAATATGTTAATAGAAATGTGCCGAAGAGGGTCTTTTGTAATCCAGGATTCCGCTTACCTGCAGATGCTGTAGAACGAATTGCCTCGCGTGAGGCGCCTTCTTGATCAGGTAGTGGGTGTGATGAGGCGGCCCGTAGTGGGTCAGTGCCCGCTCCAGGAACGAGTCGTCCGAGGAACCGGGGTACATCGACTCCTCGTCTAGAAGCCTAAGGGGTGGAGAAAGAAATAGAGCTTTAAGGGATCTCGATGGCTAAATAACGCTATCATAACTCTGAGGGAAAGGCAGAATGTAAACTCTAAAGGAGGATGGCGAATGTGTGTGTAGTAACAGGACTAAGTTGGCATAGTTTGACGTCTATTACTAGTATTGATAGAGTATGAATATTGAACTATGTTAATTGTATTAGATAATCTTAAAAACTACCTTGTCCTCTGTCCCTTGTAAACAGTTATGTAAGACTGTGAAAGAAACTTAGTCCCTTACAGCGATCGTTGAAATTGACTAAGTTTTGGTGAAGCAAAACGAGTTTATCCATGATAATGGACTAATTTGAATTTTAGAGGGGCAAGTTTAATTAATTTGAGCACTAAGGCGATTTTTTTTGTGAACTAATTAAGTGATGTCGACCCGATTCGCGTACTGGATAGTCAATCTGTTTCTTGCACCAGAGAGGGGTCCATCCCCACTAGTGGAAAAATATTGTGTGATGAACAAATTGTGTCGTATGTTTAAGTATGTATTATATTTATCAGTTATCTTAGTACAAGTTTTTCTTAGTTTGGCACTTGATAATGTTAAAGATGAATTGCTGTCTTGATATTGTTGACAAAGTAATTCATTTATATGAATTACTTTGTCAACAAAATCCATTAAAGCGCGATCTCGACCCAACACTAAGCCACTGGGGGAGCCACCACTGGGACACTAACCAGAGCAATCCACGTCGGTCGCAATCGCGCAGGTCGGCCTGGGAACTGCGCACGATCGAGTTCTGGGGCGACTTGTCCAGCAACTCTACCATCGGTCCAGGGTTCACTGTCTCGCAGACCCAATCTGCAAAATAATTGAAATTAATTAAAATTATGGAATGTGAAATAGTGATAACGTACAAAATTTAAATATATCAAAAAAACGTAACTGATGCACGCCACCCGCCGTTAGAGCAATGATGAATGTAATTGGCAGCTATTTCTACAAAATAATTTAACATTAAAATATGTAGAAAAAGTGCGAAAAGATTGTCGCCGCTGTGGGAATCGAACCCACGTCTTCGGCATTCGCGGCCTGACGCTCTAGCCACTGAGCTAAACGGCTGATTACCACACCGACGAAAATCTTAACGCATTCTTTCCACATTGTTTTCTCAGCATTTGAAGCAATGCTTGGCGCCATCTATTGTTATATCCTTTCCAGCATACAAACAACTTCGAATATCGTTTTACAACGATAATTCGAACGAGAGATGTCGCCATTGCTTTTTAAGAAATGCCGAAGACGTGGGTTCGATTCCCACAGCGGCGACAATCTTTTCGCACTTTTTCTACATATTTTAATGTTCAATCTTAAGTGCAAAGGTTAGCACTATAAACAATTTAAATTTCTTAAAAAGCAATGGCGACATCTCTCGTTCGAATTATCGTTGTAAAACGATATTCGAAGTTGTTTGTATGCTGGAAAGGATATAACAATAGATGGCGCCAAGCATTGCTTCAAATGCTGAGAAAACAATGTGGAAAGAATGCGTTAAGATTTTCGTCGGTGTGTGTAATCAGCCGTTTAGCTCAGTGTCTAGAGCGTCAGGCCGCGAATGCCGAAGACGTGGGTTCGATTCCCACAGCGGCGACAATCTTTTCGCACTTTTTCTACATATTTTAATGTTCAATCTTAAGTGCAAAGGTTAGCACTATAAACAATTTAAATTTCTTAAAAAGCAATGGCGACATCTCTCGTTCGAATTATCGTTGTAAAACGATATTCGAAGTTGTTTGTATGCTGGAAAGGATATAACAATAGATGGCGCCAAGCATTGCTTCAAATGCTGAGAAAACAATGTGGAAAGAATGCGTTAAGATTTTCGTCGGTGTGGTAATCAGCCGTTTAGCTCAGTGTCTAGAGCGTCAGGCCGCGAATGCCGAAGACGTGGGTTCGATTCCCACAGCGGCGACAATCTTTTCGCACTTTTTCTACATATTTTAATGTTCAATCTTAAGTGCAAAGGTTAGCACTATAAACAATTTAAATTTCTTAAAAAGCAATGGCGACATCTCTCGTTCGAATTATCGTTGTAAAACGATATTCGAAGTTGTTTGTATGCTGGAAAGGATATAACAATAGATGGCGCCAAGCATTGCTTCAAATGCTGAGAAAAACAATGTGGAAAGAATGCGTTAAGATTTTCGTCGGTGTGGTAATCAGCCGTTTAGCTCAGTGGCTAGAGCGTCAGGCCGCGAATGCCGAAGACGTGGGTTCGATTCCCACAGCGGCGACAATCTTTTCGCACTTTTCTACATATTTTAATGTTCAATCTTAAGTGCAAAGGTTAGCACTATAAACAATTTAAATTTCTTAAAAAGCAATGGCGACATCTCTCGTTCGAATTATCGTTGTAAAACGATATTCGAAGTTGTTTGTATGCTGGAAAGGATATAACAATAGATGGCGCCAAGCATTGCTTCAAATGCTGAGAAAACAATGTGGAAAGAATGCGTTAAGATTTTCGTCGGTGTGGTAATCAGCCGTTTAGCTCAGTGGCTAGAGCGTCAGGCCGCGAATGCCGAAGACGTGGGTTCGATTCCCACAGCGGCGACAATCTTTTCGCACTTTATCTACATATTTTAATGTTCAATCTTAAGTGCAAAGGTTAGCACTATAAACAATTTAAATTTCTTAAAAAGCAATGGCGACATCTCTCGTTCGAATTATCGTTGTAAAACGATATTCGAAGTTGTTTGTATGCTGGAAAGGATATAACAATAGATGGCGCCAAGCATTGCTTCAAATGCTGAGAAAACAATGTGGAAAGAATGCGTTAAGATTTTCGTCGGTGTGGTAACAAGCCGTTTAGCTCAGTGGCTAGAGCGTCAGGCCGCGAATGCCGAAGACGTGGGTTCGATTCCCACAGCGGCGACAATCTTTTCGCACTTTTTCTACATATTTTAATGTTCAATCTTAAGTGCAAAGGTTAGCACTATAAACAATTTAAATTTCTTAAAATAATTTAAGGCAAATGTCTAGATTTCTAGTACAGCAGTTGGATTTACATGGGTCGTGTGAGAAAAGTGTTGTTTCGTTGGCGCCGCAATCAAGCAAATCGTTCTCTGTCTCGGTCGCTCCCACTAGACATCGGAGTGTCGTTCTTAAGAATGTTAATATCTATGTCTTAATTGAATGACATTTTCGCTTTCAATATGTAGATTATTGAAGATTCATCTTCATCGAACACAGGCACATTCCACGAGCCTGGTTTGAACAAGTTCGGTTGGTAATTTACAGTGTTTAACACATGAGTCGTTCATGTAAAACATTAAGAGCAAGGGAGACTGACTACAGCCTTTAGGAACGCCCGCCGTAAGGAGGCAGCTCGTGGAGAAAGTGTCCTATACTCAGTATCGGAAAAAGCGAATCGAAATAAAGACTCAGGATGGTCACGAGCCGGTCTGGCCTGCTGTGCGCAAACAGCTTAAGAAATGTTGTTAAGTGTGTGATCGGTTTAATGTTATAACGAAATCACTCTAAATTGAACCATATAAGACAATATGCAAACAGCTTAACAATATTACTCTCCAAGTTAATAATGTTTTATTGTTATATACGTATCGCATATACGATCGAAACTCTATTCAGTATTATGACAATCATATACAACGAACAACAAAGCTGAGGAAAGCTGTGTATTGAAGCATGGAGAAAAATAAACTCACCTTCTTCGGAGCCGTCATCCAAGGTGATTCCCTCCTGGGCATACCTCTCTCTTGGCGCCACCAGAGTAGCCTCGTGGAACACGGCTTGTAGGCGCTCCTGCACGGATTATTTCGAATCAACATTATTATCGTAATACAATAGCGTAATGAAACGAACTCCGAAACGAATAACGTAAATTCCGAATGTCAAGATAAGGTTTCCTAAAATACATATTTCAATTTATGGGAAAGTCTGTGGATATGCGACCCTACGGGGAAGTTAATATTTTTGTATTATATCTATCCAATACCTGTGTGGAATTACTCCACCAATTGATAAGTATTTTCAGGATATGTTTTTACACAAAGTTATCTATTCCCATACTAAGCAAAGCTCGTTTGTACTAAACAACGGATCAACATAACTAGGCCTTAATAACAGTTAAGATGATTTCCTTTAAGGTAAGTAAAATAACAGCCTATATATTGTACAGAGGGTATCAGGGCATAGTCGACCACGCGGCCCCACTGCCGATTGGCGGACTTCACATATTTTCGAAATATTTTTTTTGTTATTATTTTGAAAATATGTAGATTTCCTCACGGTGTTTTCCTTCACCGCCGAGCACGTGATGAGTCAGCACTTAAAATTAACAATTTCATTGGTGCTGTCACCGGGGATCGAACTCAGGTTGCTCGGGTAAATTAAATTAAAGGCGAGCACCCGGACACTGAGCTATCACGGTTCTCATTCCCATTCGGCTGATTTCCTTTACCTGCAAGTAGTTAGATAGAAGCTTGGATAGTGGAGCGCCGCTCTGCTGCCCAGCGCACATCGGGTTGTCAGCCCCGGGCGTATCCAAGAGGAGAATGGAAGCGGAGGTCCTTGCTGAAGTCGATAGGCTCCTGAAAATTATTTCAACGTTGAATAAACCTCACTGCAAATTTAGCGTGTATGGCGGTGAAAGCGCAAATTTTTATACCAGCGAAATTAATATGGGACCACATAAAAGCTAAGCCGAAGAACCCATTGCGAAAAGAGTTTTAAAACTAGGTTCATAAATGAAGGAATTTTGAGGTAACAAACATAAAAAAATAATACAACCGAATAAGAATATCCTCCATTTTTTGACGTCAGTGGTTCAACTACAAAGCCTAAACGGTCTCGAATAAGTATACAAATTTTTCAAGATTCTTAACGTGCACTATTAATCTATATAAGTTTCGTTTCATGATTGAGGTAACCAGAGACCCGATATTTGAAAATGTTGGCAACATCTGCAACACCAAAGGTGTTTGTTGTAAATGTCTATGCATAGCGATAATTACTTACCATAAGAATTTAGTAGCCGAAAATAAAGCCGATAACATAAATATTATCAATGAGATATCATTAAATTAAAATTGGAAGCGAGATCAATTGAAAGATGGAACAATTACCTATTGACTAGAGCTGCGATAATGTTGAAGGTCTCGTTGTACAGGCCTGTTACGAAGGCGTCCAGCGCTTCTGACCCCGGCACTTCTCTTTCGCCCGAAGGGGAAGGAGTTCTATAAACAATTGGACATAATACGGTTAACATTAGTGTAACATACACGTTTTTTATTTAAAAAAAAACTTCATTGTACTTTGAAGAACGTCTTACGAATCGTAAATAAATGATAGTGGGATTTATATCTTATATAAAACAGAACTTGCCGAAACCAAATGCCCAAGTTCATGGTAGAAGCCTATAAAATCTTCTTCATATTTCATCCATGTTAAAACTCCTTTCTAGATAAATAAAACGCGTCAAAAGCGTACAAAAGTTCTACTCATCAGTAAATACTATTTACACAATTTAATACTTAATTAAAGTTACAAACGAACGATTTAATTAAAAAAAAAAAAAACGTACGCCGGACTGCCAGCAATGGCGAAATATGATTCCAAATTAAAAACAAACGAGCTCCATCGAATTTTAAAAAAGAAAACGTTCCATTTTCAAACGCGTACCTGAGCGCGGCGTTCGTCTGCGGCGAGGCGGGCGCGGGCGGCGCGAACACAGCGCGCGAGAGCTCGTCCACGCCGACGCCGAGGAGGCGCGCCGCTCGACTGGCGCAGCCGCTGCTGCCGAACTGGTATTTGAGGCTGGAGCCGGCGTTCGCTGCGGACGAGAATTTGCTATGGGTAAGTACCATATTTTATTAAGTAAGTACATATATTTATTATATTTAAGTCTATTTTGGTATTAAGTAAGTAGTAAGTTTGGTATTGAGCTCATTAAGCACACCACCACCCACCGTTCATTAGTTTATTTTTCCTCTTCCTAAGGTTGTCTGGAAGAGATCGCTTTTTAGCGATAAGACCGCCTTATTGTACCTAGCTTTTAAGACTTATTTTATACTAATTGTATTAAATTATTTGTAGTGTACAAAGTCATACCATTTGCAAAGTAATACATGATTATGTATTCCACGAGCAAAGTCTAAAACCGTACCGTTTACAAAAATATCAATCGGCACAGGGAATGCGCACGGTCCCACACGCGGTCCGCGGACCATACTACGGTTCCCTTTAATTGGCGAACACGTGCAAATTTATTAAAAATTCCAAAGCGGTACCAGGATTGTAGCTTAAATTGCTTTATTTATAATTTCAGTTCTCAATAAGTTGAAGGGTGAACAATACAAGCACCATGTTTGTTACGGAAATTTATATTTACGGTTGAAATGTTAATTTATTTGTGCCGACGCCATGATTTCAAACAAATGTATTTAAAAAAGTCACTGAACACAATTACAAATACAACTGTGTTACAAGAAAGGCCTCGAAGCTACCGAGACTCTGTTCATCTTGTTTTCATACAATATTTAAACAAACTTTCTTTGCAGGCACATAAAGTCTGGCGGTAGTTCAGTGAAACGCAAAGCCACGTTCCCAATAATTCACCTTTGGTAACGCCTGACCAACCCAGGTGGCATATTGCGGCCAGTATCTTCCACACAACCGCCTGCTCAGGCTCGGTGACGGAAAGCGCTTGAAGCGCTTCCTTCAGCGCGGAGAACTCTGCAGGCGCTTCGGCCTTGTCGCTGCAACTGATGAAAGGGTTAGGCGCGTTCACAGGCGCCTGGTCGAGGAGCAGATCGCGGCGGAGGCGGCCGTCGCTGCCGTGGAACAATCTGTCGAAGCAAAGAATTAATGAGAGTTAATGTATAGTTTTTTTTCCAAATGAGGGGTCATAACAAAAAGTGGACAACATGTTATTCATGAATATTGTGGTCAGGATCGATTACAAAAAGAGGATTAGGATTATATGTTCGTGGATAATGTGCGGTCAGAATCTCATGTATAAGGTTAGGTTGCCCGAGGTACCAAGGATGTTGACACAGTCCTAAAAAGAAGCTCCAGAATTTGTGGTAGATCCTTCAGCATTTAAATGCACTGTATGTAAGCAAACATTAGCCACTAATTAATTTTACTACTGAGTCCACTCAAGAGTACGATCAGCGCCCAAGGCCTGTCGTCTGCGAACCCAACTTGCCCTTTTAGTCATCTTATACGACAGGACTTGGGATTCTCAGCCCTAGTCTATGAGTTTTAGACTAAACATGAAATACGGGATTATGCACAATCGCTAAATATACAAAGGCCCCTCAAATTTATTCGGAAACACAAGCCGCTCACGTGTGAAGCGCCCTCAACGGTGACTGTCCCGGTCTGAAGTCAGGCAGCAGGGTCTGGACAGAGGCGGACACCAGAGCGCCGCCGCCGTCAAAGTCCAGCGAGGTCAGCGAAACGAAGCGTGACGCGTGAGGGTTCGAACCCGTGCTGGTCAAATAAAAATTGACAAATCACATTTTATAATACATTATCATATTTATAAATCATAATTCAGCTTGATGCTTAATAATTTAATAAAAAAAGAACAGAATTATCATGTTGATATCCGGCATGAAGGACCAATTTTATGTAGGTATGAAATAACCTTTAGGGTTTGACTATATTGATTACTTTATTTTTATGAACTGACTTTTCTTTCAAGTCCCAACATCGGCGTGTAAATCAAGATGAAGTCTTGAATTGTAAATCGATTATAGGCCAGTTCATAATGTAAAAATAGGTGTTAGCAAACTGGTCTCAAAAATTTGAATATATTTTAAAAGACGGTTAATATATCAAATAATATGAGGTATACCGGCTTGATCCAAATGCGTGAAGCACGTCGAACGCCGCATTCAAACGCTCCGGGGTCAGTTTGGAGCCCTGGGCTGGGTAAGCGCTTGCTAGGTACCACACGCAGTGGCGCATAGCTGACGTTTTACCGGATCCAGATCTACATGTTAAGGAAAGTTTTCATTAATCAGCCGGAAAACGGTAAGGAAATCAATAACTGTAACAAAAATTCGAAACACGATATGTAAAATTACGAAATATTTCGTAACTCAGCATCAAGCACTGTTTTTGGGTTGACTTTATTTCAAATTTTATTTTTTACTGAACATGTGCACGGCATTTAAGGAAATCCCCGTATGGAAACATAGATCTTATTTAAGAAACAATGAAAAATGATATGTGAAATCCGACAATAGTGATGGCGGTAGGGTACTGAACTATGTTCCAGTAAAGTGCTTGTGGAACATTTTATGATTATAAATACACAATAATTTATTACATAGCTCTGCTAGCTTATGCCCGTGACCACATTTGGGTAGATCTATTAACAATATAGGAATAGAATGTAAAATGTATTTTCTGACCTCACCAAGAATGAAACTACTATAAATGAAAATAAACTTAAAATTCTTGACATAAGCGAATTAAATTACCGTATACGGGTAACATTTGCATGTTAATGATAAATTTCTTATTAAATACTATAGGCATGAACCACAGATAATATCAAACTTAGAATTAAATAAAAGACCAAAGCTTATTGCAATAAATAACAGAAATTATTCGTTACGATTAATACATGTTTGGAAATAATGCAGTTGACTATACAAGCTAGTGTCTAGTATGGTGTAATATTACGAACGCATTCGCTGATTCCTCTTAAGCTACTTTCTTAAATAAAAGATTAGCTTCTAGAAACCGGTTTATGCATAATGAGCGTAAAACAACAATAGGCGGTAAAAACGGGTTCTGGAAACCTTGAACTTTGAATGCTGCGTTGTAAACAATATGAATGTTAATGGAATAAAATGCTAATTATCGCGATCTCATGGCTCTATCTATAGAAACAACGATTACAGATTATTATATCTCATCTATTAACTCAGTTTTATCCACTTTTATGTAATATACATTGTACAATATTTGAGGTAGTTAAACCACAAGTTAAGGTTCCATTTTAGTAACGTTCAAAATGCAAAACAAAACCATATAATTTTATATCATTCAATATGTTTAAAATAAATGGTTTTGGGTCAGTAAAACTGCCAAAGCGCCAAAATAACGCCACGGCCCTCTATTAGATTAGTAAGAAGCCGATAAGTAATTGTTATACTAATCGTTAGTATATCATTTATCTTTTTGATCATATACAAGAAACTTTATCTGAAACTAGCTGACTCGGCAAACGTTGTTTTGCCATATAAATTATTTCTAGGGAACTTGGAAGTGTTTGACAGACATAGTTGACAGGTTGACAGGTACAGTTTGTATGGGAAGATAAAATTGTTGTTATTTCGATTTTCTATGCAATTTTTCCATAATTTCTCATCGTTTAAACCTTCCCTGGACTGCCACAAATATTTCAAAACCAAAATTAGCCAAATCGGTCCAGCCGTTCTCGAGTTTTAGCGAGACTAACGAACAGCAATCCATTTTTATATATAAGAAGAAGATTTAAAATTAAAAATATAATTTTCATATGTACAAATTAACATACAGCAGTTAAAAACAATTATATATACAGCAGCATCTGTAACAGTATATTCTCTTCATCTCTTTTCTTCTGGTTTTTTTGAGTTCTATAACAATCATTGCGTAAATGGACCAGTATAGGCGTCTCGTCTCTCATTAAACGATGATAAAACGAAAACCGCAGTAAATTCAAATCAACTTGGGCAACTTATTATTCATTAAGCTATCATTCCATTAGAAACTAAAAATAAATTTGCAAGGACGCGTTAGATAATTGTCATGGCACACACTGTTATCAGCTTGAGTGAAACTGATGTGAAACTAAAGGTCAACGTGACAAACGTCGTTTAATTTAGCACTTAATTGAGTTATATAAATATTTTTTTTTTTTTATAATAACAAAACAAGAAATTTTTTCAAATAAAATTAATTAGACGACGAAGTTTTTAAAACAAGAAAAAACCGCTCGCTGTAGAAACAATGATATGTCTGCTCGTATTTATTTATTTTCATGTTGGACTCCAGGTTCCAACAACAAATTGGACGAGGAACAGATTTGTCGCTAATTTATACAACTACAAGTACGAAATTGGAAAAAATTTATACAGATTCCTACGCAAGGCTGACATTTGAAGTACAAATAATAATTGGTCCCAACCATTGCGCTATACGTGTATGTCCGAGCCAAACACTCCTGCAATAAATAACCTACTAGAGTGATGAAATCTTAGTCAGTCCAGTAGTTTTGACTTTATTTAACGGCCTTTAGTAGTCTAAAGGTCGTGAAGGAGGGGAAGTGGGGCTGTATAAATCAACATCCTAGAAATGCGGATGCTTTAAAGTCACAGTCCCTCGTTCCGCCAGACTCCTCAGTTCCTCACCTGCCGAGGAAGACGATGGCGCGGTCGCGCCGTGATGCCAGCATGCACCGATGCGCCGATTGGGCGGCGGCGAACACGTGAGGCGGCATATCGTCGGCGCGGCAGCCGCGAAACATGGCCGCCACCTGGTCAATTGATCATCATCATCATAACAGTCCACTAAGTGAGCGACCACTGCAGAACATAGGCCTCCTCTAGGGATTTTCAAGATTCAAATAACTTTGGCAGTACATCTGATGATAATAAAAAGACATTGAAGGGTTGTCTTTGAAATTAGATCGGTAAACGAAACGGTTTGGTTGCCGTGTTTCTTGCCGTATCAATCTGGACGTGTCATGATAGCTAGTTTAATAATTGTTGAAACGCATCAGCTCCATCATTTTTCACTACGCGCGTTTCAACAATATTAGAGATACCTTACTCCAGGGACGTACCACGGCTCCACAGGAGAATTTAAAATTTAAGTAATTATACTTTTGTATTACGTGTAGTCGCATATCCCGTTTATCTCTCAAAGATAACCGGTACCTTCGCTCTTAAAACCTTCAAGAGCGAGGATGTCCATAGGAGACCGTAGTCATGTAAGACCAACTTTTACTGTGGTAGGGCCACGCATCGGTTTCGGCTGTTGGACGAATAAGCAGCTCCGGTCGGGTGGGGGTTCGACCGGTCCTACCACAGAATGGGAGGTCCGTCCGGGTCCGACCACAACCTCACAGAAAACCATCGTGAAGTGGAAGTGTCATAATTCTGCGTTTCGTGTGGTGATTGAGGTGGCCGGGGCCCACTTTACATTAAGGTGGCAACGCATCTGAAACCCTAGGGGTGTTGCAAATGTCCATGGGCGGAGGTTATCATCAGGTGAACCGCCATCCCACTTGCAACCTTCTGATATAAAAAAAACCATGTGTACCTCCTATTCAGTACCTTTTGAAAGTTCTTAAGTTATGGTCTCAGATTCCAGTGTGGGTCCTGCCAACCTATTTGGATAATGAGTTAAGCGTTCGCTCAACTTTACCTTCTCCGTGTATATGGGGGTCGCTCGTCTTGGCGGGCCCAGCACCAGGAGGGCGTGGCCGGCGCGGGCGTGGGGCAGCCCTGCGGCGTAACGCGACCTCAAGACATTCAGGGCGCCACATTCGTTCAGGCAGCGCAAGGAAGCTATGTCCTCGCAGCGTTCGAGCTGCGGTGGGTTGGCCTGAAATCGATTAGGATCAAATAAAAGCAATTATATATATATATATATAAAACAAGAGGTAGAGGTAAATATAACACTAGCGCGAAACTAAGGCATTCAATTTCCGGCAAATGGTGTAATTTCATAAGTCAAATGCGAAAAAAAAAATTGAGTACCATAAACAATAATCTCATTCATACACTGTCTTTCACTTAACTGTGGCAGGCTCGTCCGGGTAAGTACCACGACCTCACAGAAGAACGGCGTAAAGTGGAAGTATAACAAATACTTTTGCGTTTCGTCTGGTAACTGATGTAGCCGGAGCCCAATTTTCAATAGGTTGTCAACGCGTATGAAACCCTCGGGTGTAGCAGATGTCCATGGGCGGCGGTAATCATTTAACATCAGGTCAACCGCCTGCTCGCTTGGCATCTTTTCACATAAAAAAAGGAAGGCGAAGACGGGTACTCTGAGTAACTACTTGAGTGCTTAAGTTCATATTTACTTTTGACTCATATGGCTAAGAAGCTCAAAGTTTCAGCTCAAAAAAAGAAATAAATAAACCTGGGGTATTAAAAAGTATCAAGCCAAAAGAAATTTTAGTAATCCAATCGGCAGTTTGAAGTCATTGATAATATGATTTGGGCCGCATTATCTTTTCATCATGAAACAAAATTATAAGGAGAATTATTGGACGAGTATTGAAATGTGTAAATTTTGTAACTTGACAGTGAAAAAATTTACGACACCGTCGCCGTAGGTAACCTTAATTACGTTACGTATCCAATGAGGAACGTAAAAGAAAAAAAATCGAGTCGTCGACCGTCCTCTGTCGATGCACGCTTTGGCTAATTTACGGGGGAAATAATCTTGATAGTTATCAAACCGGTCGTATTAAAATAAACAAATCGATTTCGTTGACGCTAACCCCGCAACGATAAACGCTCGTCCGCCATTTAAATTCATTTATTGGCCTACGAATACTAGCGGGGAACCTAATGAGGCAACGTAGCCGGCCTTTCCACTGGACTCGCTCGGCAACCGGTAAAATGCGGTGGCCTCACAGAGATAGTATTATGTAAAAAGCAGCAACGATATTGATTTTTCGTAACCGCTCAAAACGTCTACTGATTCGTTTTAACATTAAGCCACGGTTAATGTTTGTTTACAGCCTGTGAATGCTATCCTATTGCCTAATTTTAAAGGTCAGCGTTGCTCAACTAATCAAATTAAGTGTGAGTGGATATGTTCTTGAAATCGGATTTCAGATGCCGTGGACCAGTAACAAACAGTGGACCGATTGACTGACTCGTTTTGAATTTGATTTAATCCAAGATAACAACCATAACCTTAACAGGAATTAAGTCACCCATGTTATTGGCCATGGAAAGTTTAAATATGCATTAGAACTAAATTTGACCGCCGTGCGTTTTTCTTGGAGTGCTCCGCCACGCACAGTCTTTTCTGTCAATCTTTGCTTATTCAGTTTTGTCTGGCGGTATTTCCGTAGGCGTGTGATTTAGGGATCGTCAAAAGAGAGCCTAATCCTTACTGAAAGGCGCACTTCTGTCGTTACGAGTGTCCATGGAGAGGGGTGATCACTTCCATCAGGCGATCCAATTGCCTTTTTGTCACCTTTTCCATAAAAAAATGCGCAAATCCAAACTACACGCCTGGAAGAAGTTCTCTTTGATCTAAGATTAGGTTGCATGTGCGTGTAGACATAATACTAGGCGAAACGAACGCCGAGTGGAAAGGTCAAAGTTATTGCTTAATGAAAATAAATACTACTATAAGTACTCGTATTTCAGAAGATGATCCTGGGAAATGTTTGGTGAGCAATGTATGGACGAACTTCAGACACGGCTTCAACTTTCGCGTGTCGTACTGCACTCAACAATAGTGATGTCCAAATTCCATATTTCAGTTAAACGCTTTCAAATAAAAATTGTATAAAAAAGGAAGAAAAACTAATCGCCGGCGCGGGAATCGAACCGACATTTTCCAGTATCGCACCCAGACGCTTGAACAACTAAGCTGACTAAACGGCTGATCGTAAGACCGACTAATCTCAGCGTGTTTCGCTTTCGAGCGACCAATCGGGGCACTCACCTTCTCCAAGTCGTCCTCGTCGACCACCAGCGTCTCGCCTGTCTGCAGGACTCGAACCTTCGCCCTCCCGCCGTCCGCATCCCCATCCCTCACGACGGCCGTGAAACCGCCGCGGTGCGCGAGCCACATGTGGCCCGCCTGCAGCCACTCCTTCTCGCATGCCAACTGCTCCTCGGATTTCGCCTGATGAATAAATATATAAAAATTTCAGGACATATTTTTATACAACATGTCCCTCTGCTGGGAAAAGGCCTCATCAGTAAAGAGGGTATCAAGGCGACCACACTGCGGATTTGCGGACTTCACGTATTTTGGAAACAGCTTTCAAATAAAAAAATAATCAACAAAATCACTTCACTCAGTCAAAAGTTTTGAGGTAAAAAATATAAAAAAAATACAGTCGAATTGAGAACCTCCTTTTGAAGTCGGTTAAAAAGAAATGAATGCACAAGAAGTGTTATATGATATATTAATATATTACATCACATTATAAACTAATGTTTTTAACAGTAATCAATTGCGACGTGAATTCTATTCAATAAAATCGTAAAGTTTACGGTCCTAACAACTGCAAACAACAATTGTGCAACTAAGCGGCAGTCCCAAGCGGTACTTGTGCGTGTTCAACTTTCAACAAACGTTTACAAACGATTTTACGTAAATGGAATATTTTCCGTAAATTGAATATTTTACATATAAACGTACGTATGGGAGATTTATATCTATAAGTAAAACATTTAAGAACACAAGTATTACTGAACAGTAAACACTACCGTTTAGTAATATTTACCTTCAAACTTGACTACGGAGCTTTTAAAAGCAAATCCGACTGAAAGGGCATTCTATAAAGTGGATCAACGAATTGTTGACCAAGATTCAGTAGAAAATTTTAAGTGATTTCATTATTCTTTTCACTTCTGTGGTGAATGCATTTATTGTAATTTCTTTTTGAATTGATATCTACTACGTTGTATGGTTGGAGTTGGAAGTTGTTTGCGTTGATTTTGTTATCTGTTTCTATGTTTTGCGACGTGTTACGGTTAATAAAATAAATTAGAACAAATATACAATTGATTTGCTTAAGTGACATTGAAACTATCCAACCACGTGGTAAATGCAAATACTAATTTGTCAACAAGTTAATTTTAAATATTCCTGAGTTCTCTGCATTCGAAGAGTTGGGTCGCATCTCGTTAAGATACGATCTTTTAGAATTTATTATATTATTTAGCTTCCAAACATTTGAATATAATATTTTACAAGATTTCACTCATGATTATTTATTTCCAAGTTATTATCTTGATTTCTTTTTAGGTCTGCCGCTTATGCGATTTGTTATTGGGTAACTGTAATTCGAATTTGACATATACCAATTAATATTTAATAACTCTTGATCCGAATGTTCATTGAAAGGCTAACATAAAAAAATTTATGTAAGCGCACATTGTGCGAATGATGTTCATTGCGTAAGCAAAAACTGTCAAATCATTCTGTGGGATATATCAAATGAATGAGAGATAGACGTGTTTATTTTAGTATCAGTTCATTTGACTGGTGGATTGTTTTATTGCAAGTAATGGTATAAAATAACTAACTTATAATATACACATCTCCAAGCATTGTAAGAGTGGACCGCAGTTAACTCGGAAACGCAAAATTATAATACTATTACTATATAGTCCTGGTCAGAAATGGGTACCTGGTACCCCCTCGCCTTTTTTACCCGGTACCCCCTTAAAACCTACGTTGCACTCCGTCACATCGGCCGGGGACACGGGCGCACGTAGACGCAATATTCGGCGACATCGGTGCCGCTACGGCCTTCATGGGCTTTTCCTCCTTTTGTGTGCACGACACCAGGTCCGGCCACATGGTGCTGTACCAGTGCAATTGGCACAGGACCCATTACGAGCCCTATATGGTTCCCCGCTCAGCGGCAGACCATAACTGTCGCTCAACCAAGGACCTGATTTACCTGAACACGATAGGCAGGCCCTTGGGTGCTGCGTGGCCCTACCTCAGACCCATGTCGCTTTTTCACACACCCATTTACGCCTATCTGTCGGTCTCGGGTGCTTTCAATGCTCAGTAAAATAGACCCTCATGGTGAACTTCTGCACAGTCAAGTGCACGATGCTTACGCTAACATTTACTATATTCTACTTTCTATGCGCCCGAGCGTAGCGTTAGCGGGTTTTAAAACACATTAGCGACCGACCGCGATTTCATTTGCATTACTTTCATCGTGCAGTTGCTTACAACTTTTTCTTTCATATGCCACCGGGATCCCCACCAGCGCCTCATAGGCTTAATAGAGCGATTCCAATTAAATACGCTGACGCTTTCGTAGTCATAAGCAGGATAGGGGTCAAGGGAATCAACCTTCGTTAGAGTATAGATTGTAAAAACTTTTCCTTACTTAATACAATTCACCAAACTAATCCTACACGCTGAGTCAGCTATGAAATGTATTTGAATCGGTATCTGAACTCAGGTTGAAAGCAAATATTTCTAAGATATGTTAACGACGCCAATCTGCGATGGGGTCGCGTGGAGGACTATACCCTAATACCCTCTGTACAGAAGTGTGCCTTTGACCGGCAGTGAAACAAGAATAGGCTATTATTTCTTTATTTCATTTTACTGAATTCCCACAAATGAACAAGAACGCTGGGAATGGGAGGAACGCTGCCCATGGACACACACAGCACCAGAGATTTTGCAGACGTGTGCCAATCAGTGAGGGTGTGTCCCAAATCCCAATATCTTCTCACGGGACTCAACGCAAAAGTATTTAGTTAGTGCTCATTTTCTACGAAGCCGTAACACTGCCCCAGTTGAGCCGATCTACTCGTGCTAAAGGAGCTACACTATAATTGTTGTATAGTATGATTGTTCTCTACCACAGATAAAAAATGTGCACTAGTACGTAATTATTCAAAATTCTTGTAGGTACCTTAGTATCAATTAAAAAAAATATAATCATATACAGCGTGTCGTTACCATCGCGACAATAAATGAACACACGTCTAACGGTACTTACCAATAATCAAAAAAAAATATTAACGTTAAACAAAATCCATAAATAAAAAAAAATATTTTTCAAACAAACTAATTAAGTAAAAAAGAAACAACATTTGTAAGATCCTATACAACTCGCGCCACAGCGTCGCATTACAAGCCTCTCCTTCTAACAGTATGTTTTGTCTCTTTTAAATTCATTCTACCCGTTCATATGCTTTGTGACCTTTACAAATGAACTTTACGTTACAGTTTTATACGTAAGGGTGTTCTAAAATTCCTTGTTTTGGAAAATTTAATAACTCGGTAAATATTGATGTTTAAAGAATGTAAATGTTTAATACAATTTTAAAAGTTATCCTCTATATGTGTGTTCATTTATTGTCGCGATGGTAACGACACGCTGTATATAAAAATGAATCCCTATTTCCCTTGGTCACGCCATCACGCGTGAACGGCTGGACCGATTTCACATTTTTTTGTTGAGTTTGTTATTATCAGGAGAAGGGTCTTATGAAAGAAAAAAATTTAAAAAATGCCTGAAAAAGTCTAAAAACAACACTTTTCTATATTCCCGTACAAAAGATTCGTAATAATACTTAAAAGTCAATTTGAACTTTAATACCATACCATAAAGTTTAAGTGTTAGTGGAGGAGTTCCGGGAAGGCAAAACAAGTGAGTGACTGTGGTAAAATGGCACTTGAAATGTGATGAATGTGATGATGAACTGACTGGAGTGCCTAACTGACGAGCTGGAATAAATATGGACGGGTGTGCTGACGTCGCGTACTCTGTCAGCATCTTCCATAGGGATCTTCACTACATAGTATAAAACAAAGTCGTCCAGCTGTCTGTCTGTCCCTATGTATGCTTAGATCTTTAAAACTACACAACGGATCTTGATGCGGTTTTTTTACTAGATAATTCAAGAGGAAGGTTCATATGTATAATACATTGCACCCGTGCGAAGCCGGGGAGGGTCGCTAGTATAACAATAAAAAAGTAAAGAAAATAAACTTATAGAATTTGAAGACGCGTAAAGAAAAAACATGACTTTTCATAAGAAACCCTTTTCATTAATTGATAAGAATTCGACCATATCCGATACTGCTTAGTATTTATGCACTTGCTTAATCTGTGTAGTATTAATAAGGTAGTTAATAAACTCTGTAGGATGTTACACTGAAAGGGGTAACATTTTTGCATGTCTTTCTGCGGTAAATATAAAAAAATTCGAGCCGTCCTCGAACCGTTCTGAATTCAAAAACTACTGTCGATATTTGACGTCAACTCTCCCGAATCAGATTCGTCTTCCGTTTTGCTTCAATTACTGCCAACGCCACAACATTGCAACGACGATCCGTGTCAATGTAATTATGCAGGAACATACCATAATAGACGATAGATGGCATTAGAAAACCAAGCACAGTGTCAATCTCGATGACAGTTTATTAACATCGCACGTACGTAGTGAGCATCAATAGATTGTTAACGATCGGTAAGTGTGCGACCACCTGCATTGCCATATTGAAGCCCCGACCAATTATCTAACATAATAAATGTGTTTCTGATGGATATGATCCGAAATTAGGTAATCTCACAGACAGCAAAGGTTATCAAGATAGCTCTCATGTCAATTAAGCTGAAGTGGCAGTAGACGGTCCGCAATTCTTGCAGAACTGACAGCCGATGAAGCAGACGAGTTTCTGAGCGGAGATCGCGCTCAGGCAAACGTAGCAAAGGACGCCATAACACTAGATGGAGTGATGTTTTGTGTATCATCGCTGACAGCAACTGGACACCAACGCCGCAAGATCGACATAAATCGATAGTGTTTACTAGAAGAGGCTACGTCCATCAGTAGACAACGAAACGACCGATAATAGATATGTTTCGATAAAAGAGGAGCGTCAAAACCATCTTTTAACACCCAATCGTTATTACTATTGCCAGTCTAAGTTGGTGAATACGTCAAGCACGAGCCTGCACTCATCGACCTCCCGCAATAAGTAATTCGTTCTGAATCGTTAATTTATTTGTAAGGTACAAGAAGAGCCGATAAAAAGATTAATAACCAAATAATATTACCACTATTGCGAACAGACGCAGCAGTTTTTACTTATGCTAGAAAGGGTGAGTTTTTTTTTTAACAAATGCATAA